AGATGGCATAGAGTGTATTATGCTAAGTGAAGTAAGTCAGAGAAAGACAAGTATATAGTTTCACTCATGGAATCTGAGAAATACAACAGGTGAACACAGGGGAAGGGAAGGAAAAATAAGATAAAAACAGAGAGGGAGGCAAATCATAATAAACTCTTAAATACAGAGAACAAACAGGATTGCTGAAGGAAGAGGGTTAGGAGGATGGGTTAAATGGGTGATGGGAATTAAGGAGGGCACTTTTTGGGTTGAGCATTGGGTGTCATATGTAAGACAGGAATCATTGGGTTCTTTTTTTTTTAATGTTTTATTTACTTTTGTGAGAGAGAGAGAGAGAGACAGACAACAAGTGTGTATGAGCAGGGAAGGGGTAGAGAGGGAGGGAGGGAGGAAGGGAGGAAGACACAGAATGAGAAGCAGGCTCCAGGCTCTGAGCTGTCAGCACAGAGCCCGATGTGGGGCTTGAACTCACGAACTGTGAGATCATGACCTGAGTCAGATGCTTAACCGACTGAGCCACCCAGGTACCCCATGAATCATTGGGTTCTATTCCTGAAGGCAAGACTACACTGTTAACTAACTTGAATTTAAATTAAAAAAAAACCAACTATCCACTTCAATCAATGAATAAACCTTAAAAACTAATATGCTCCAATAGAAATCTGAGAAAAGATTGAACACTCAAAAACCAGGGGAAAGTCTTATTCAATACTGAAGATGGTGCTGAAACAACCTGTGGCCAGAGTTTTTAGGAGGATAGAGACAGATCTACAGTGATTTGGGAAGGCACTAAATACAGAAGACCCTCAACGTTTCAGGTGAGCACAAGGGACTCCAAGCATCCATCCAGGTCTCCATTTCTCATTTAACTGAGTCACAAATACTTTTAAGACTGGAGTGCCAGAAGTTATTACACCAGTGAGAGAATCCAGTTTCCACATTTTAATAAGTTTTCACTATTCTCTGCTGATTCAATAAGTCATTAAGTCTGATGAGTTTACTTAAGTGTTTCAGTTACATTTTAGTTTTATGGAGGACATACACCGATCACTCGATTTTCTAAATTCTTGCTCCCCAGATGATTCTCCTTCCATTTGTTCTAAGGCCCACTGTCCATTTAAAGCTCAGTGACTCCCGCGAAACCTTCACCGACCACCCCAGGGCAGAGTAAAAGTATCCATTGTTTTACTTCCTGACTACAGCTTTGACAAATAAAAAAAATGGGTGCCAGGAAAAGTGCTCTGGAGAGATGGTCTGACTAAGTGAATTCTGCTCTTACCTTCCTGGTAGCACACTGAATTTCTAAGATTGATGGCATAGCTGGATTCCTATAAGCCAGAGTTGGAAACTTCTGTTTAAAAGACATTTCCTGGGGCGCCTGGGTGGCTTAGTCGGTTAAGTGCCCGACTTTCCCTTAGGTCATGATCTCGCGGTTCGTGGGTTCGAGCCCTGCGTCGGGCTCTGTGCTGACTGCCAGCTCAGAGCCTGGAGCCTGTTTCAGTCTGTGACTCCCTCTCTCTCTGACCGTCCCCTGCTCACGCTGTCTCTCTCTCTCTCTCTCTCTCCTAGAAATAAATAAAAATATTTAAAAAAAAAAAAGACATTTCCTGTACAAGGCAATAACATAGGACCTGGAGAAAATCAGATTCAGTTGAGCTTGTGAGGGAACCACAATGGGAATTGGAAATAGAACTTCAGAAAATACATCACAGGTAGTGTAACCAAGGGACACAGAACAGGAGACCTAGGAACAAGAAGCTCAAGTATAGGAAAGCAGATAGCAGGAGTAAGAGACAGACTTGGAACCACAGAGATTTTAGCTCAGTAATGATCTACTCATTCCAGTTTTGCATCCTTGTTCCCTCCCCACCATCCTCAACTATCCTACCCAGATTATAGCTCTTTTTTTAATCCAGTCTCCTAGATCATCAAACTCCTTCCCCAAGGCTTCCTAGTACACTCACTTCCTCCACATTATGGTTGCTTCTTGTGCACACAGGCCTGGAGCTCTTTGGACAGGATGGTCAAGAACTATTTCAGCACCAGCACCTTTAGAATCTGCTTCTTAATGTGTATCTTGAACCTCCGCCACTAACAGCAAAGTTCCTGGAGTTGGCTCAGGGATTTTGGGGCCCTGGGTATCCATTTCCCACTAACATTACTTCCTAGAGCACTGGCAAAAGTTATTGTCAATAGATTTACTCCATTTCTGCCAGGATTCTTGCACCCTCTGCCCCCCCCCCGTTTTTTTTTTTTTTTTTTTTATTAATAGAGGTTTGTGGCTTTTGGAGACTATCTTAGGTGTCAAGGTTGCTAAACCCTTCAACTCCTTAGCGATCATGATCTTGAATGGATCTGTGGTTCAAAAAGATTCCTCTGAATCTTTTGGGAGAATTCCTAAATGCAGGGAAAACTTAACATTTCCCTGATACAGTTGTCACATACCCTAGTTTTGTGTAAGGTTTCATTACAACACTGCAAAATAAAATCTTGTTTTCGGGCTTAGGTAATGCTTTTGTAAAGCTATACAGGTAATCCTTTTTCCCTCCACAATGTCCTCAAAATTTTCAGGCTTTAATGTCAACCAACCAACTAAAAACCCATTTGTTAATCATTTACATACAAACTCAGCAGATAATAAAAAGGAAGATTAAGATAGATCCCTGTCATCCAGATGCTGATAATCTTCCAGAAATAATACTTCTGCCCTAGGAAGAGAAAGCCTTTGGTATGGGCAGACTGGGTACCAGATAAGAAAGAGAACAGAATTTAAAAGGAAGAAAGCAAAATCAAAGAAAAGCAATCAAATCCCAGCTAAAGGACATCTGTCTTGGAGCAACTGGCTCCAAGGATTTAGAGGAGCCGAAAGAGAAAGCCGGAGAAGGAGATGCACTTTCCTTCTGGAACCTGAGCTCCTTCCGCACCAGGGCAGGTGCTCATTCTCACCCATCTCAAACTCTGGAATACCCTCAACACCAGCCCCACCCCCCCCGCGTTAATGCCATCAGTCTTCAGTTCTATCATAACCATCTTTACAATAGATCTCTGTTCCTACAAGGGTGATCTGCTTTGCCACAGATCATCTATGTTTGCCTCCTCAAGACTGAAGTCGTATTCATTTTCTCCCTCTTAGGCAGGTTCTCTGCTAGTCCTTTAAGTTAGCAAAAGCACCTCGGTGCTTCTCTGCCTCCCACTCCACCCACTAATTTAAAGAACCTCCAGAGTGGAAGCTTCTTGTACAAGCTGCAGCGCATCAGCTGTTAAATTTTCCAGTACTCTGTTTTCCACCTGAGATTCCGATTTTCTTAAACCTTTTGTAGTGTCTGGAAGTCCCCCTCACGCCCCGGCTCGCCGGCTCCCTCGCCTCCGCGTCGCGAGTCGTCGCCGCCGCCTCGGGCGAGCGCACAGTAGGGGCCGCCGGAAGCGGCGCGGGCCGGGCCGGATTCGCGGGCGCACGTCCGCCTTCCCCGGACCCGGGTAAGACTCGCGACCGGGGACCCCCGGGTCGGCGACAGGGAGTAGGGGAGAGTCTCCCTCCCGTCGGGGTCTGTGCGGACGTCCCGGGCCTGCGGGGACTGCTGCGGTTGTTCGTAGACGCGGTGTCGGTGGGGCTGGGCGGCCGGGTGACGGGAAAGGGGTTTGCGGTCCGGCTGCTCGGCTCCCCGCGGGCCGTTACTCTTCGGAAGGTGTCAACTCCTGGAAGTCCCGGCGTCCTGTGTTCTGAATGATCCCTACAACTGGAGAACCCCCTAAATCCATCGTTAGGGCGGGGGAGGTGGGGGTGTGTGTGAAGGACGCCCAGAGGGTCAGGTGCTGGGCCCCGTGCCCAGATAGCCCGGCGGGGCCGCGCGGGCCTGGGCTCCCGAGGCGCGGGCTGCGGCCCCTCACCGAGGGCTCTCGGGGGCCAGGCCCCGAATCACCGACGGCCGTCGGTGCCCCGAACCGCCCTACACCGTTTTTCCCGGGCCGTGGTTTTGTAAAATGTTATCCAGGGGGAACCAGGAGGAACGGTGCACGGACTCTTCTGTTCCATTTTGGGAAATTTTCTTTAAAGGTGTTTCAAAACCATACGCAAAAAAAAAAAAAAAAGGGGGTAAGATGTTTACAGAGGGCGAAGTAGAGGTTTAGAGAGGTGAAGCCGTACACATAAGAGAACACGACAGGATTCAGGCCCAGGTCCTTCACCACCACCCACCGTGCGCGTGGATTAGTCCCCGTTCACTTAAACGGGTAGGCTTGCTTACGTCCACGTCCACGAGGAAAACTGAAGCCATCAGCACCCACACAGCCTACTGCCTGCCTTAAGGTGATTCTATTCATTTGTCTTCACTTGATGTGACACTTAGTTCCACTATTTTTATCAACATGACATTACTATTCCAGGAAATTCTTGCCCTAGAAGATAAAGCCGCAAATAATATTTGCTTCAAGAAATGACCCCTCAAAAAATCCACTCAAATGAGTACCAGACTCCCAACTTTCCATGGATAGGATCCAGACTTTTTGAAACCCTCAACTCAAAACTTTGACCTTGTTGTATCCATCTCTAAACTATGGTGTCATGATCTTTACCCAATCTTTTTCCTGCCTCAAGAGGTGTGCCTTAAGCAGCCGAAACCTCATAAAAATCCTGACCTTTGCCTTACCCCTGGGAGATTTGCTAAGACTCTGCCAAGGTAGTGCTAGCACTCATAGCAATAATTTCCTTGGTGTTATCAATTATTTTGGTGTTATTTTTGGAAAGCAGAGATCCAACAATATTCTCACTATTATAAAAAATGCTGTTTCTCGATAAACATTCCTTCTATTTGGAAAAAGGTTTGGATTCTCTTAAATATATTTTTTTCAATTCTCTTTAATTTTGGGTGGAGGCTTCTTTCTCTTCGGAACAGAAACATTAGACTTGGTGAGTTCACCTATTTAATTAGCATGTGTGTGTGTGTGTGTGTGTGTGTGTGTGTGTGTGTGTACCTTCTTAACAGTGGTTTCTGTAACCTCAGGAGTGTGTCCTGAAGGGTCACACGTTTGTTGCCCTCCTCTCTGACCATTGGAGCGCGAATGGCTGCAGCATTCCTTCCACGGGCTCCTGAGGAGTCAGAGGGGCTCTTTGGAGTAAACAACAAAAAATGGCCTGCCAAGGTTCGGGGATCTGGCTCACAGTGGAACAGCCCAAACAACCAGGAAGTATTCCGCCAGCGCTTCCGGCAGTTCTGCTACAAGGAGACCCCTGGGCCCCGTGAGGCCTTGAGCCAGCTCTGGGTATTCTGCTGTGAGTGGTTAAGGCCTGAGATACGCACCAAGGAGCAGATCCTGGAGCTGCTGGTGCTGGAGCAGTTCCTGACCATCCTGCCCGCGGAGCTCCAGGCCTGGGTGCGGGAGCACCATCCAGAGAGTGGGGAGCAGGCCGTGGCTGTGCTGGAGGATCTAGAGAAGGAGCTGGACGAACCAGGCCAGCAGGTAGAAAAAGTGCTCATGCGGGATGGTTGGGAGTGGGCAGCAGGCTGATGCTTTGTGGGCTCTTGGGATCATCGCTTCTCGGCCTTTTGGCTAACATCAAGTGTGGGCTCTTGGGATCATGTGCGCTGTGAGCCCTTCAGATGCCCAGACGGGCCTGCTTGTTCTCAGGTTTCAACCCAGACCTGTGCACAGGAAATGCTTTCTGAGACATCGGTGCCTCTGGATCCAGCTAAGGAAGCAACATATCTCCAGACTCAACCCATGGAGATCCAGCCTAAGGGTGACTCTCAGGACCCTCAACACCAACAGGATTGTGGTTAGTGTTGACACGGGTCATATGACTCCCCTGGAGACCTTAGAAGCATTCATCATTTAACAAATACATGTTGAATACTTACTATGTGCCAGACACCATGCAAGGCACTAGGTATAGTGAACAGAACAGACATGATCTGGCTTCCATGGGTCTTACAGTAGTCTGGTGACAGAGGCATTAAATAAATACACAAATGTACCATAACAGACTGCGTGTGGGGGAAGAAGGTAGAGAAGGACTTTTTGAGGAAGTAACATGGGAGCTAAATCCTAAAAGTAGAGTAGAAATTAGCCATAAACAGAAAAGCAATGCAAGCCTAACAGCATGTGCAAAAACAGGTGGGAAAGAAATGGATTTGAAAGGCCAGGATGACTGGAGCACGGAGAGACAGAAGAGCAGAGAGAAGGTGGCCAGGGGCCAGAACACAGGGCTGTGCGTGACCAGCTAAGGAGTCTGTACATCTTTAACTTTCACCGTGTGTAAGACTAGCCTCTGGATCCTGCGAAAATCCCAGCCCTAGGAAATGTTGAGTAAAGGTGAGCGATGAAGTCCAAGCAGAGGGATAACGCACGATCAGAGGATGTGGGTGGGTCCATCTGGCTGAGAGGAGCAGTGGTTGGAACAAAATGAGAGCCTGAGAACTTTTTCGGTTTTTGATTAGGAACTAACAGGTGCTGTATAAGCTGAACATAAGCCAGATCAGAGAAGGAGAAGAAAGACCACTTTGAAGACTTGCTGTAGCTTAAGTCGACGTTATGAGGGCCAAAAGTGGGGCAGTTTTGAAAGGTGACGGAAGGAAGGGAGGGATGAAGAGAGATCACGTGTCCTAAAACCCTGGGAGGTGCTGAAAAGACCACAGAGTTGCTCTTTCTGACCCCTCGCCTGGCTGGAACAAAGAATCCCAGGTTCAGAGTTGGAACATTCCTACATCTGATAGGTGGAAGTGATGCCCGCTCTTCCCAAGGGAAAATGAAGAATGTCGTTAGAAATGTGTCAGCTATACAACCTGAGTTAGACTTTCTCTGTTGTCTTTGTTATGCTGAGGGAGACTGTTAAAGGCTGCAGAGTACTTTTTACATATAGGTAGGAGTGCGTGAAATTCATGTTTTCCAAAGTTAAGGTGTTTGACGTAGGGTTTTCCTAAAGAACTGAAGCTTGCTGTGTGAAGGTCAAAACCTGATTGTGTTCGCCTATTAATGGACATCTTACCGATATGAGTAAGAAATGCTTGTAAGCTGAACACAGCCTGTCCTTTTCTTGAAGATAGAAGTTCATCATTATGATTAATGACTCAGGCCTGCTGATCACTGCTGCTCTTGGAGGCTTTTGGGTAGGAGGGGCCACGGCTTGTATCCTAAAATGACACCAGACTGTCATGCCAGTAAATGACAGATGTGTGATTTAAATATAGCCGTCTCCAGGGCCCATGTTCTTAATTCCTGAGTACTGATGAGGAAGATGGAAAGTTACAGGAAATGAAACTGAAAAGGTAGGCAGGGACATTTTTAGCTTCACTGTGCATCTGGATAACTAAAATACATCAATGCCTCAGAAATTGGCTTTTGATTGGACTGCGGTGAGGCCCTAGCATAAGCTTTTTTTTTTTTCCCCCAACTCTCCAGGTGATTCACATGTGTAGCCAGCTAAGGTCAAGAACCCAGTGGCTCGTGAAGGGCTTATGTACTCAACAGATGAGTTTAGATTTTATTTTGTGGGGAAATTAAAGTTAGGTATTCAGAACTTTAGGTCCGTGGGCAGTTTTAAAACTTCGTAATTTAAACTCTAAGTGTGGTAGGTACAATCTACAAATGGCATGTGAAGTCAGAATAATTTTTAAAACAATACAAAACTGCACACTTCAGTACAGCCACTGTAGAAATTGGAACAGTGTGGGCCATCTGATCATGTAGCTCCTGGAAAGTAAATGGCTACAGTCACCTGAACTCTAAGTTCCACTAAGGATCATAGTTTCTTAAAAAAAAACAAACACAACAAACAAAAAAACATGTCTTTAATTCTCTAAAGAGGTCTGGTAGTAACAAAGTCAGTATCAGTGTACATGTCTTAGACCACTTTTGAAAACCTTTCATGGGGTTAATTATACATTGAGAGCACAGTGACTTTTTTTTAATGTTTGTTTATTTATTTTGAGAGAAAGAGCATTGGGGAGGAGCAGAGAGAATCTCAGGCAGGCTCTGCCCTGTCAGTACAGAGCCTGATGAGGAGCTTAAACTCATGAACTGTGAGATCATGACGTAAGGCTACATCAAGAGTTGGACGCTTAACTGACTGAGCCACCCAGGTGCCCCCAAACCAGCTTCTTTTTAAAATGTGAAATGGGCCTAGAGCATTACAAAGATTTACTTAAATCACAAAATTATTGCTTAAAGAAACACTGGATTTGGAAAAAGAACGGAAGTTCTGCAATGACTAGGCTTTCTGAAGAAGACATGACCTCTTGCATTCCTTTAACAAATACTGTCTACAAAGTATATATTTATGTCACACTTTTTTATATGTATAGAAATATAAATGTGATCTAATCATAAAAAAAATAATAATAAAAAAAAAATAAAATGTGAAATGGGGCACCTGGGTGGTTCAGTTGGTTAAACGTGCAACTCTTGATTTCAGCTCAGGTCATCATCTCACGGTTCCTAAGTTCTAGCCCCACATCAAGCCTGCTTGGGATTCTGCCTCCGTCTCTCTCTGCCCCTCCCCGCACTCACTCTCTCTCTCTCTCAAAATAAATAAAAGTAAACTTTAAGAATAAAATGTAAAATCAATTTTCTATGGTAAGTTTATGACATATCAGTTACCAAGGCAACATTCCGTATGCCAGCACTTTCCTGTGGGTTCAGTCTCACTGAAGTTCATTCTTTAATAATTATTTTAGGCTCTTTGTGAGTAGACTGTCTTTGCTTGTCTGAAAATAGCTGAATTTTGTCCTTCCTTTTTAATCCCAATTTAAGCTAGAGTAAAATTCGAAATGACAGGTTTTTTCCTTAGGATTTGAAGGTACTGCTAGTACTATTGCTTCTAGTAGCTACTCTCCTAGCTTCTGTAATTTGCTTGTAAGTGCTCCTGTCAGTCTCAGTGCTTTTGTAACTTAGCTACTTTTTGTAACACTACTTTTCTCATTGATAGTGTTTATATTTACTCTTAACTTTTATGAGCTAAAGTTTCACTAGAAATTGTGTCCTGATAGGATTTTATTTTTTATATATTTTTATATTTTGCTTGGCCCATAAATGTCCTATTGTTCTAAGGACCCATGTTTTTCTTCAGTTCTGGAAAATTCTCAGCTATCAGTTCCTTTTTTTTTTATTAAAAAAAAATTTTATAAATTTTTTTTAATGTTTATTTATTTTTGAGAGACAGAGACAGAGCATGAGTGAGGGAGGAGGAGAGAGAAAGGGAGACACAGAATCCGAGCCGTCAGCACAGAGCCTGACGCGGGACTTGAACTCAGAACAGTGAGATCATGACCTGAGCCGAAGCTGGACGCTCAGCCAAGTGAGCCACCCAGGTGCCCCTATCAGTTCTTTAAATAATGTGGTAGTTAGTTTGTTTGTTCCTTATGTATTTCCTTCTGGGACTCCCAGAACATACTGGTGAGGACCTATTTATCATCTGTTCATTTTGTTTGGTTGCTTTTTCATATACTTTATTTCTTTGCCTCTGTGGTGCATCCCAGGGGAGTCCTGTTATGTTCCAGTTGATTCTCTCAGTCTCCGGTTTATCCACTTCTAAAATCTCTATCCAGTTTTTGTAGTGTCTATTCCGTTTTTGTTGTGTTTTGTTCCATTTTTGCTGATTTTACTTCATAATTCTGTGCTTATGCGACATGGATACTGTGTCGTCAGCTGTCTCTTTTAGGTATCTTTCATCTTTTCAGGATTTTGTTGAGAATAATTTCATCTGGATCGGAGTCGATGTTCCAAGTGGCGACTTTGTACTCATCTTTTCCTAGTATCCTGTTCACTTGTTTTGACATGTTCACCTCTGGGCTCATTTTGAGTTCATTCTGATCTGCCTCACGTTCTCCCTTCCATAGCAATTCTGTGGTTACCTGTGGCCCCTCCTACCCCAGAACCAGGGCTCCAGTGTCATGCAGGGAAACACAGACCATCAGTGTCCCCACAAATGTCCCCACAAGTGTCCCCACAGGTGTCCCTACAGGATTGTTGGCCGCAGTGCTGTCCACGGGCTTATGTGTGTGCCTGTGTCCCATGCAGACTCTGGCGTCAGCCGTGAGCTATAACCAAGCCCATGGCTTCAACTGTAGCTGCTATTCTGTGATTTTGTCCCCTTTTGGTCCACAGAGATGTTTGTCTTGTTTTTGTAGCACAGACATGTTTTAGATTAATTTTTCTTTTTATCACTCCGTGTATGTGGAGCTGAAGCATGAAGTCATTGTGTTGTCCGGACTAAAAAGCACACCTTTTTCCCTTATGTTTGGGGCACCTGGGTCAGTCGGTTAAGCGTCCGACTTCGGCTCAGGTCATGATCTCACAGTTCCTGGGTTCGAGCGCCGCATCAGGCTCTGTGCTGACAGCTTAGAGCCTGGAGCCTGCTTCCGACTCTGTGTCTCCCTCTCTCTCTGACCCTCCCCTGCTCACGCTCTCTCTCTATCTATCTATCTCTCAGAAATAAATAAAACATTAAAAAATTTTTTTAAAAAACAGTTATGTTTCTATGCTATGCTTTTTCTTTTCTTAACTTTTTGACGTTTTCATTTTTGAGAGACAATGCAAGCAGGGATGGGGCAGAGAGGGAGACACAGAATCCAAAGCAGGTTCCAGCCTCTGAATTGTCAGCACAGAGCCTGATGCAGGGCTCGAACTCATGAATTATGAAATCATGACCTGAGCTGAAGTCAGATGCTTACTGACTGAGGCACCCAGGTGCCCCGCCTATGCAGTGCTTTTTAGTAATAATCTATAAATTTTCTTCTCATGCTGATACGAGTTTTAGTTCTGTTATATGTGCCGTGATGTTTGGATCTCATCCACAGTACATTTTATATTTGGTAATGGCTTTAAAAGACCATGTTCTTCGAGCACCTGGGTGGCTTAGTCGGTTAACTGTCCGACTCCGGCGCAGGTCATGATCTTACGGTTCGTGTGTTTGAGCCCCGCATTGGGCTCTGTGCTGACAGCTCGGAGCCTGGAGCTTGCTTGAAATTCTGTCTCTCTCTCTCTCTCTCAAAAATAAAAACATTTGGGGCACCTGGGTGGCTCAGTCAGTTAAGCATCTTGTTACAGCTCAGGTCATGATCTCAGGGTTGGTGGGTTCGAGTCCTGCATCGGGCTCTGTGCTGATAGCCCAGATCCTGCTTCAGATTCTGTGTCTCCCTCTCTCTGCCACTCCCCTGCTCATGCTGTCTCTCTCTCTAAGAATAAGTGAACATTAAAAACATTTTTTTAGAGGCGCCTGGGTGGCTTAGTCGGTTAAGCGTCCGACTTTTGCTTAGGTCATGATCTCGCGGTTCGTGGGTTCGAGCCCCGCGTCGGGCTCTGTGCTGACTGCCAGCTTAGAGTCTGGAGCCTGTTTCAGTCTGTGACTCCCTCTCTCTCTCTGACCTTCCCCTGCGCACGCTCTCTCTCTCTCTCTCCTAGAAATAAATAAAAAACATTAAAAAAATTTAAAAAATTTTTTAATAAATAGAAGCATTTTTAAATTTCTAAAAAATAAAATTAAAAGACCATGTTCTTGCATGAATGTGTACTTTGTGTAATTTTCCTTTGAATTCTGCACACAGATGTGTCTAAGGTAGACATAAGGTTTTAAAGTGTCCCAAAACTTTATGATAACCACACATCACCAGGGACATGAGACCTTTCTCACCAGTGTGGCAGAGTGGTCTGGGGAGTCATGATTGCAGACCCTGGTCCTAAAAGGAGGCCCAGGAAAAGGCTCCTGTCGCTCTAGGCAGCTTGCTTCTCAGCTTTGCCTCATCTCTGGGTTTCTGCCCTTTCTACAGTGGGCACCCTGACCCCCAGGGCAGCTATCACCTTCCTCAGCAGGGTGCCAATGAGAGATCTCATGTCTGCTGTTGGACCTTGGCTCCTTCCCACCCTGCTCCCAAAATCTCCTTAAGCTGACCCATTTTGGCAGTTGGCCAGTGCCTCTGCCTAGGATTAGGTCTGCCCTTCACCCTGGGTCCTAAAATGGGGTTACTTTACAGAGAATCTGCCTTGAGTGGGACAGTCTCACTGTTTTCCAGAAAGTGCCGAGCACTGAGGAAGTGGCCACATCTCCCACCCGGGAGGAGTGGGGTTGTCAGGATGCTGCGCGAGGCACCTCTGTAAGAGCAGGCAGGGCAGTTGTGGGACTTCCCTGAGTCGGGACGCTGGGAGAGGGCAGACCTGTTTCAGACCGGCTCTGTGTTGGTGACTGTTTGCCTGGGGTGTCTCACGTGACCCACGGAGCGTAGCTTCGGGCCTGACAGACTCCCAGGTTTTCCTTCTCAAGAAGCGTAGATCTGTCTTTGGGGCCACATGAGTTTCTGTCTCCACATGAGAACAGCGTCTTGTGTCCCGTGTGTCCAGACACGCTTGTTCTGCGTACTTGGAAATAGGATACTTTTCTGTGCTCAGACTCCTCAGTTTTCAGTTCTCCAGGGGCTTTCAGAGCCACCTGCACGAGCTGCTCCTCAGCTCCACGTCCGCACGGCCCCGTGAGCTTCCCTCCTCCCACAGCCCTGCGCCTTCACCCACCTGTACCGTGCTGTGGCCTGGGCCTCTTCTGTCATTGACTCACGCCCCACTGACCGTCTCCATCCGCACAAGCCACCCCCGGCCAGTGCAGCCACTCCTGGTCCCCTCTTCCTTCGCTCTCCCCCACGGTCTTCCTCACATGGTGTGGAACGGTTTTGTTGGTATAGTTAAGCTGTGTACTTCTAGTAGATGTGTTTAATTTTACTTCCTGTGTGTTCCCGTGACATTTGAAATCTCTCCTTTGTGTTTCAGGTAACGTAATCGGAATTGAGAAAGGAGAATCGATTCAAAAGCAGGAGCTTACCATTGATACGGAGTCTCCAAAAAAGTCTTCTGGCCAAATCAGTGGAAAAGTCCCTCAATGCAAAGAAACCCAAGAACCTGAAGGACGGACAAAGAGATACCAGAGAAACTCTCTAACCGAGAGAAGATACAAGTGTGATGAGTGTGGGAGAAGATTCACTCAAAACTCAAGTCTCATTAGACATAAGAGAATCCATACTGGAGACAGACCCTATTCATGTAATGTGTGCGGCAAAACTTTCATCCAGAGTTCGCAACTTATTGACCATCAGAGAATACATAACCGATTAAAGCCGTATCAGTGTGATGAGTGTGGAAAAGCCTTTTATTATAGTTCACACCTCGTTCCGCATCAAAGGACCCACACTGGAGAAAAACCTTTCCAGTGCAGTGAGTGTGGGAAAGCCTTTCACTACAGCTCTGGACTCGTTCGGCACCAGAGGACCCACACAGGAGAGAAGCCCTACAGGTGTCACGTCTGTGGAAAGGCTTTCTGTCTGAGCTCACACCTGATCCAGCACCAGCGAGTGCACACTGGGGAGAAACCGTACCGGTGCAGCGAGTGTGGGAAAAGCTTCAGCCAGAGCTCAGGCCTCTTCCATCACCACAGGATCCACAGTGGGGAGAAGCCCTATGAGTGTGACGAATGTGGAAAGGCCTTCAGTCACAGCTCAGCCCTGGTTGGGCACCAGCGAATCCACAGTGGGGAGAGGCCCTATGAGTGTGACGTGTGCGGGAAAGCTTTCTGGCGGAGCTCACACCTCCTGGTACATCAGCGAATACACACCGCAGAGAAGTCCTGGGGACGTAGGCAATGGTGCAGAATTGTCCATCTGTGCTCGCTCCTGCAGAACTTCAGAGAGGGACACCGCCGTGATGGGGAAGTCAGGCATTCTCTGATCCCCATTGTGGTTTCCGCAGTCATTTGAAAATACTTCTGGAGGCTGAGACAGGCAGTCACCTGACAGCTTGCCAAGCAAGCATGTTATCTGATACCTGGGACCTTGGAGGGGCGAGTTCCACATTCTCACACTTTCCTCCTCGAAGCAGGGGCTCAGGAAATCTCCGGAATCCATTACATATGTACCCGGAGGTTGTAGAGATGCTGTCCCCCATTCTCCCCCATCTTCCTTGTGAAGTGTGAATTTAGACTTATCTGATTTGCATTTTTTTAAATCCTGAATTTTTGGTTAGCTTGATAAAAGATCTCAGCCTATTGATTGTCTACACTAAAAACATAAATACAAAAACCACTTTGTAATTTGGTATGAACGTTTGGGTGGGCAGGAAGCTTCCGTGGGGTGGAGCGGGAAGGCTGATCACACACGTCACAGGAGGGTGACCTTTCACATCTTCCCCAGAGGTGGCAAACAGGCCAGGGCGCTGTATTTGGCCTGCACATGGGTTTTTCCCACATAGTATGTTTTTTGATAATATAAAATTATTTCAGCTTTTAAAAATCTGGAGAGTTCACAGCGAATCTGACTTTCCAGATTCTCTTACAAAAACGCGTGATGTGGCAATACTAGTTGCCACATTCCCACAAAGCAAGAGTTGACTAGAGCGGATTGTCACAAACTGCAGATGGATACGGTCCACTACCACACAGCTTCCTATGCTCCCTGACCACCCCCTGCTCCCCCTCCCTGTGTGAGCCCTGCCCTGTCCTCTGGGCTTCTCGGGGCCACCTTGCCACCGAAACACTGCGCCTTAGCTTTACGCGCTGGCCCCCAAGAAGATACTCTCTGAAGAAAAGGCTTTCTGCTAACAAAAGTTTGAAGATTTACAATAAAAAATTTAAGGAGCACCTGGGTGGCTTAGTCAGTTAGGCATCTGACTCTTGATCTCTGCTCAGGTCTTGATCTCAGGGTAGTGAGTTCAAGCCCCTTCTTATGCACTGCACTGGGCATGAAGCCTACTTAAAATAAATAAATAAATTTCAAAATGTATGCCTGAAAGTAGAGGAAAGTCCCTTTAAAATTTTCCTTAGATTGAATGTACAGGGAATTGTTGAAAGTCAACTGTAACGGCTTCTAGCCAGACCCATGGAGACTAGTTCTTCAGATGAGATGGAAGCACAGCATGCATGATGGGAGTTGTCACTAATGTAAGAATGAACAAGCTCAGGGCCCAAAGCAGAGGTGCAGCTGGGGAAGAGAAGCTTGAGATTTGAAGCATTTAGTGATGGGAGCGGCTGTGGGAAGGCCGCGGGATGAGGCCCAAATGGGAGAGTGGGGAGAGGTGAGAAGAAAAGGCTGTGAATAGGGAGGGTTGAGGATGAACAGGGAGGAAGGTCAGAGACGCCAGAAAAACCAACTGCAAACAGGAAGTGGAAGTAAAGGCAGTGAAAACATTCATGAAAGACCTAGAGGCTGGAGTATTAATCCACCCTTCATTTCTATGCCATGGAGGCCAAATCCCTGATATGAAGGACTCGCACCCAATCCTAGCTCACTGCTGTTTGTACTGCGCCCCTGGCCTTGTGTGGGCCTCTAGGTGGTGGGACACAGGACACCTATATCCTATGGAAAAGCCGTGTTCCAGGGCTTTGTAGCAAAACCAGCCAAGCAGAAGGATTCTCCCCAGGAGAAGGAACACATTCTTGGCTTCTCTGGAAGGCGTGTGATCTGCCCATTCCTCCTAAAGAGGAAAAGTGTGGTGTGAACTAGCAGTACCCATTTTGTACTAAATAAATGATAAGGTAAAAGGAAAAGTCTTTTGCAAACTGACAATCGTGGCTGCTATTTGTTGGAACACCAGTTGTGCCCAGCATCTTGTATCTCATGTCAACCTCCCAACTGTTCTGTAAGATATGATTTATTATCTTAAACAGTGTGCACATATAATTTATTCTTAAGAAAGGCTTATAATGAAAAATTTTTATTATGTTTAAATGTTAAACAGCCTATACAAGTATTTTTAGAATATGATAACTGTAAAACAGTCTTAAGATACTAAAAATTGGAAATAATAAAATATCAACAGTGTGTTTAGGTCATGAAAAGGGAGTGATTCTCACCTTTTCTTTCTACTTCTCTGTGTATTCCAAATGGAAATGTTAGAATTCATCATACAAAAAAAAAAAATTCATCATACACATCTGGTAAGTACTTTTTAGAAATTAAAATACTACAGCATTGAGCCTTTCTGGAATGATTCTTTGATGCCTTTTTCAATTATTTCTTTTAGGATTGGTTTATTCGGGTTTTTCCACCTTTTTTTTTTTTTTTTTTTTTTTTTTAAGTAATCTCTGCACTCACCGTGGGGCTGGAAACTGCATCCCTGAGATCGAGTCTTATGCTCCACTGACTGAACCAGCCAGGTGCACCTAGATTTTTCTACTGATTTTTAAATTTTATTTATTTTGAGAAAGAGCGAGCCTGTGCACATGAGGGGGGTGGGGAGGAGAGAGACAGACAGAGACAGAGAGAGAATCCCAAGCAGGCTCTACACTGTCACCACAGAGCCTGATTTGGGCTTGAACTCAAACTGTGAAATCATGACCTGAGCCAAAATCAAGAGTGGGATGCTTAACTGGCAGCCACCTGGGTGCCCCAATTTTTCTACTTCTTGAATAAATTTTGGAACTAAAGGTTCTTTCCTAGAAAATCCCCATCATTGAGATTTTTTAAAATTTTGATAGCATATTTTCTTCTTCATCTGCTATTTGTCATTTACAGTTTTTAATTTTTTCTCAGTTGGATTTACCATAGGTTTGTTGTTTTTAATGGGCTTGCTTACAAATAGTTCATTCTTGGACCTATTAATGCCACTTTTTCTATTTTCTAATTAATTCTGCTTTTTATTTCTTTTCTAACCTTTTCCTTGGGTGTTTCTTTTTCTAATTCCTTGAATGCTTAGTGATGTGGGGAATGAAGGCAAAAGGAATTGTAGATAAAATTTAATTTCCTTATAAGCTGCAGCCATTAACAAATACTTGAGTCAGGAAGAGTATAACATTTCTCCAGGAACTCCCTACTGTCTTAATGTTAATGCCTCACTCGAGAGAAAAACAACTTTAACTTGACCATAGCCAGGCCTGCAGGATCCTTTGAGTCTTTAACACATGAAAATCCTTTGGAAACTTTGTCTTTACCTCCCCTAACTCCCAAGTAGATAATCAATTGGTCTTCACAATCCCAGGTGGCTCTTGCTGCCCACAGGTCTGGTTCCTGTACTGTAATAAAGCCACCTTTTTAAGCAGAAGATGTCTCAAGAAATCTCTCCTTACCACATCATTTTGTTCATTTATTTTCTCCCTTTTTAAATAATTAAAGCAAGTGAGAATATATATCCATCAAATACTGTTGTTTTGAAATAGTATACCAGGGGGGCGCCTGGGTGGCTCAGTCATTAAGCAACTGACTTTGGCTCAGGTCATGATCTCGCTGTTCATGGGTTTGAGCCCCGCATTGGGCTCTCTCCTGTCAGCTCTGAGCCAGCTTTAGACCCTCTGTCTCTGCCCCTCTCTGCTCACTTTTCTCTCCTGCTGTCTCTCTCAAAAATAGATAAAAATGTTTAATAAAATAATAAAATATTAAAAAAAAAACAATCCAATAGTGTTTTTGTGGGTTTTTTTTTGGGGCGGGGGTAAGCTTTGGAACAAAGAAGTAGAGAAGAGGGCCCTGTTGTCATACACTGGACTGTCTGCTTATGCGTCAATAGTGAGGGCAGAGAAGTTCTGTGCAGGTAGAGGAAGGACATAAGTAAGCCAAGGACCAGAGCAGGGTTTTACCATGCTCTGTGACAAAGCCTTGTTTTGGCTAGTATTCAACCACTCACATTACCACAGCCAGGTAGGTGCTCCCCAAGGCTCTGGTGATTGAAGTTGATGGCTGTCTGAAGCTGGGGCATACATACTGTAAGGTTTTTGAGTGAAAAAAGACTCCAAGGCAAAAAGTTCCGCAGAAGGAGTTTTATTGCCTGCACCCTCGGCCAAGGCGAGAGAATTTACGGGGACAGTTTTATTACCTGTGTCCCCGGGCGAGGTTCCGCGACTCCAGAGAGAGGGGAGTCGGGGAAGTCGTGGCCTGGTTGGGTGGTGGTGGGGTTTTGTAGCCCGTTAGTGGGGGTTCCGATAACAGGGGTAGTCTCTTGACTGGAAAGTCCAGGGTTGGAAGGTTTAAATTTCTGTTTCCCGCCGATGTAGTAACAGCCACTGATGTAGTGGCGGGAAGGTCAGCCAGCCTAAGAAGGTCTGCCATTCTGTGGCGTCTCTGCCCCACCTCTCAGCCCGCCCAACACATTCCTGAAGAATATTTGGGATTATTGAAGTTCAGGACCTGGGGCTCCTGGGTGGCTCAGTTACTTAAGCTTCTGACTCTTCATTTTGGCTCAGGTCATGATTGTTCGGCTAGTGAGTTCAAGCCTCATGTCAGGCTTTGCTTTATGGCGCAGAGCCTGCTTGGGATTTTCTCTCGGGCAAAGAGAAAGAAAGAAAAAGGAAGGAAGAAAACAAGAAAAGAAAGAAATTTATTTAAAAAACAAAAAAACAAAGAAGAAGTTCAGGACCTGGAGCAGAGTTCGTATTTAGAACCTGGTGAGTGAATTTGATATGAGACGTTAGATGAGGGAAAAACTCACTGAAGGGGGCAGCAGGGAATAGTCGAAATTCGTCTGCAGTCTGAAAATGCTCATTTCTGCATGTCCTAAATGTCCCACCCGGGTTTATTTAATCAGTTGTATCTGCCCTTTGAAGCACAGTGATATTGGCTCTGATCTTCATCTTAAAGGAATTATATAGCGTTTTACTGGATGAACCGCCAGGCAAAGAATTCCATAGAGAAAAGGGATATCGGTGACATTTCCCAAACAGGAAAATTGTTTGTAGGTTGTGAAGCACAAATGAGGTTTTAAAATAATTCTTTCCTGGTTACACCATCAGAAGTAAATTTGTGTAGAAAGTTACATTTTACAGGGGTGCCTGGCTGGCTTTGTTGGTAGATCTACAACTCTTGATCTCAGGGTCATGAGTTCAAGCCCCATGTTGTTGCAGGATTCTCACACAGAGAGTCGTGACGCCAAGGCTTTTCTTTCCAGGAAGTAACTTTATTTGTGCCGGCACCGCTCAGTTGGGTTCGTACCCAAAGAACCGAGCGGCCCACATCACATGGCATAGTTTTTTTTTTTAATGCATTTTCTATTTCTTTGTCTCCCATATATGGTAACACACATAAACATGCAGTTTGATTAAGTTGTCTCCCTTTACAAGGCCATGGGGGATGTAGGCACCTGGGTGCATATCTAGGTGACCTTGAAGTCTTCTCTTTTTCTCTCTCTTTAGGAAAGGGTTCCTACACAATGTTAGGTGTACAGATTACTTAAAAATAAAATCTCTTTTTAAATAGTTACATTTTGAGGCACCTGCCTGACTTAGTCCGTTAAGCAGTTAAGCGTCTGACTTCAGCTCAGGTTATGATCTCCTAGTTTGTGAGTTCAAGCCCCACATCAGGCTCTGTGCTGATAGTTCAGCACGTCAACACAGAGCCTGGAGTCCGCTTTGAATTCTGTGTCTCCCTCTCAGCCCCTCCCCTGCTCACGCTCTGTCTCTCATTCTCTTAAAAGTAAATAAACATTTAAAATTTTTAATTAAAAATAAGTTAAATTTTTTTAAAAAGTTACATTTTACTGAAATATGTAATGGATAAAATCAAGTTCCCTGTAAGTTTATCTGAAGTGATAATTGCTTAGAGAACAATTATTCTGTAAAAACAGTACTCTATACTGTTTCGTAACTTACTTTTTTTACTCAATTTGCCTTTGGTATCTTTTAGTTTTTAGCATTAAAAAGATTGGCATATAAAAATTTAAATTCCCAAATGTGGACATTTGGGTTTCCCACTTCAAATAAACAATGTTTATTTGTGTATGTTTGAACATTTGTGTAAATATTTCTACATGAATAATTCTAAGAAACTCAGTTGCTGGATCAGGGGATATGGACATAGTAATTTTAAAAAGTCTTGCTTTCCAAAAATTGTAATACAAAGTAAGAATGCCTGTATTTTCACATACTTTCCAATACTGAATATGACCAATCTTTCTGTTTTTAGTAATTTGAACAATTTAAAAAAGGTTTGTTATTATTTTAATTTAAATTCTTTGTGAACTTGAGAACCTTTTCATATTATTGTCTATTAATATTTGTGTACTATAAATGTCTATTTAAGTTTGCCAATTTTTCTATTGGTTTGTTGATATTTTTCTTATTTTTTTTGTAAGAAGTCTGTGTGTGTTAGGAAAATCAATCCTGTGTCTTTTTGATGGGTGGCATGTGTTACTCTGAGCTCAGTTATTTTCTTCGTTTGAAATTTCATATTTTAACATCACCAGTTCCATTCATCTTTTCCTTTATGAGTTTTCAGTTATGTCTTTAGAGTTTTATATCATGCTCAGAACCCTCCCCACTCCAAGGTAGCAATAGCTTTTGAACCTCCCTCCCTGCTTCTGCCTTTGTCCAATCTCCTTCACTTACAAGTTTATTTTTAACACGATAGTCTTTTCAGTACCTGTATCTGAACTTGTTACTTCTCTGCTCAATGGCTTCCCAAGAGTAAAAAACAAGATCCTTGAACTCACCCAAGACCCTCATATCTCTCTCTCTCTCTACCCCCAACACCATTTTCTTCCCTTAGCTCTGGACACACACGCCTCCTCCCTGTACCCAGAATATTTCAAACACACCACTCCAGCCTGTGCATTTGCTGTTCTCTCCCTGAGACAGCTTTACCCCTGATGACACATTCATCTCCCTCAATCTTTGCTTAAATGTCAATGTATTAGTGAGGTCGTCCGTGAGCACCCTACTTAAATTGCATTACTTGTTTCTCCCTCCAAACTTCAGATTTCATTTATTTTCTCCTTGGCACTAACATCCCCCATCTAATACACTATACATTTTTCTCATTTTTTTAATTGCCTGCCTCCCTAGCTTGTATGTACAAGCACACACACTAAATTATAAAATCCATGAAGGCAAGGGCATTTATAGTTACAGCTTCCAGAACAGTGACTGGCATGGTAGATAAATAATCAGTGTTTGTATAAGAAAAGGAAAGGGGGGGGGGGGGGATCCATGCATTTCTGACCCAACAGATTACCAAACATCAAAATATTTTACAAGACTGTGTTAACACATACAGATAAATCAGAACATCTCTAATAGCTTCTATGACTGGTAATTTGGCAGTAACAAAAGTACAAATACCCCTCCTCGATACTCCAGTAATTCTACTTCTAGGAATATATACGATGGAAATACCCTTACACATGAGGCAGAAGTAGGTTTACAGTAACTTATTGCTGCAGCGTTTGTAAAAGATTGGAAACAACCTACATGACTATCAATGGGGTAATTTTTAATAAACAACGGCACATGCGAATAATTGAGTACAATGCAGTTGTTTAAATAGGGGGTGGGGGAGCAAGCCGGAGGCTGGAGGAAGCCCTTTATGCACAGTCTCCAGTATTAGTTGGTAGGAGGAGACAGGCGAGGAACACGCATCTGCCCGATGTGTCTACGCACCCGTGCGCGTGTCCCGAAAAACACTGTGGAAGTAGATGCTGGAGAACACTTACTCGTTTTAAATACTGAACTATGTGAACGCACTATTTTTTCATACCACGTATTTAACAAGTGAACCTAAAAATTCTTGAAAGGGAAAAAGTCTAAGAAGCACAGCGGGGAGCACGCGCCCACGGGCCTCGCGCAGGGGCGGGTGGTCCGCCCGGTGCTCCCCGGAAGGCTGGCGGCGTGAACGCGCTGCCGCCACCGAGGCGAGGCTGCCTAGAGCGGCCGGAAGTGCCCGCGGCCGACGCCATTGGCCGGCCCGAGTCCAGCCTCGGTTCCGGGCCGCCGGGAGGACGCGGTGGCGGCCCCTGTGCGTGTGCGCGCACGAGGTGAGTCCCCCCTGGGTCCCGGGTCCTGTGCGGGGGAGGGGCCGGGGCGGGCGGGTCCCCCGCAGCGGCGGAGCCCCGGGGGACGCGGCTTTCTGGGCGGCCGCCGCGCGTGCTCCCGGGTGACCTGCACACCGCCCGGCGAGCGGCACGACCTTCGTGCAGGTGAGCACCCGCGGCCCCGGTGTGCGTAAGCGCCGTGCGCCGCCCCAGAGCCCCGACGGGAGGCCAGCCCTGGTCGGCGAGCTTCTCCGCAGCCTCCGAGGACGCGGGCAGCCTGGGGTAGCGGGGTTGGCGCTCGCCGCACCGTCCGTCGCTTCTCCGCCTGCAGCTTTCTCAAGAGACCGGCCTGGATTCCGCGCCAGAGACGGTTCTCCTCCCGCACAGCCCAGAATGGCCGCAGCCCTGGAGCCCGAGGAACAAAGAGGACTTGGCGTAGCGAAGGCGGAAGGCCGTTGCCGGGGACGAGACTGCGGCCCACAAAACTACAGTCCCCGCAGGAGGGAAGTCTTCCGGCAGCACTTCCGGAGGCTCTGCTACCGGGACGCCCCCGGGCCCCGGGAGGCTCTCGCCCGGCTGTGGGAGCTGTGCCGCCGGTGGCTGAGGCCGGAGTGCCACACCAAGGAGCAGATTTTAGACCTTCTGGTGCTGGAGCAGTTCCTGAGCATTCTTCCCAGGGACCTGCAGCGCTGGGTGCAGGCGCACCACCCGAACACCGGGGAGGAGGCGGTGAGCGTGCTGGAGGACCTGGAGAGACAGCCGGACGAGCCGCGGAAGCAGGTGGGAAGGGGGCCGTGAGAGAGGAGGGTGTGTGGACCGAGCCAAAGCCGAAAAGGCATGTGAAAGGTCACCTGACGGTATTTCGCAGTCATCCTAGAGAAGAACAAGGCTGAGGGAGGCACCTGGTGTCGGTGCCGGTGTCGAGTAACTCAAGTGTATTCAGTAAAGACACAGGGGACGGATTCCGAGTCAGGTTGGAAGGCAGATAGGTATCAGAGGTAAAGAAGTCTCCAACGAATGGGCTACCTGGTAATAGAAAACAAAAACAAAAACAAAAACTCTCCCTTTTCATAGGAAAATAGTCAAGGTGGGTTTAAGTAGATATCAAGGGTGTTACAGAACAGCACTGTCCAATAGAATTTTCTTAAAAATTTTTTCTACATTTATTTATTTTTGAGAGAGAGAGTGCGTGAGTGGGGAGGGGCAGAGAGAGAGGGAGACACAGAATCCGAAGCCGCTCCAGGCTCTGAGCTGTCAGCACAGAGCCCGATGCTGGGCTCGAACCCACAAACCGCGAGATCATGACCTGAGCTGAAGTCCGACACTCGAATGACTGAGCCACCCAGGTGCCCCCCAATAGAATTGTAATGTGAGCTACATATGTAGTTAAAAGTTTTCTAGTAGCCACGTTTTAAAAAATAGAAACAAGTTAAATTAAGTATATTGAACCCAAAGCTGGGCACTTGGGCGGCTCAGTTGGTTAAGCATCTGGCTTCAGCTCAGGTCATGATATCTCGGTTTGTGAGCTCCTCCTCTGCCTCTGTGGTGACAGTGCAGATCCTGGAACCTGCTTCAGATTCTGTCTCCCTTTCTCAACCTCTCCCCTGCTCATACTTTATCTTTCTAAAATATAAATACTAATATTTATTTTTGAGACAGAAACAGACCATGAGCAGGGGAGGGCCAGACAGACAGAGAGAGAGGGAGGCACAAAATCTGAAACAGGTTCCAGGCTCTGAGCTCCCAGCACAGAGCCTGATGCGGGGCTTGAACCCATGAACTGCGAGATCATGACCTGAGCTGAAGTTGGATGCTTAACTAACTGAGCCACCCAGGCACCCCATAAAAAATTCTTAAATATACACATATATTTAACCCAAAGTAATCATGTAGTCATTACAAAAAATAAGGTATTTTACATTCTTTTTTGTATTATTTTGAAAATTCATATTTTACACTATCTCAGTTCCTACTAACCACATTTCAAGTGCTCAGTAAGCACATTGTGCTTGTGGCTATCATATTGGACAGTGGAGTTATAGAAGAAGTGGAAGTTGGGCTAGATAATTTTTAAGGTTCTTTCCACATCCAACATTCTGATCCTGCGCTTATATGGATCCTTGTGAGAAATTCATTTTCCAGTGGCCTGAAGTATAGAGATTAGTTTCCACCTCTTCTTTTTTAGTCATTGTTGCCATTTGCAGTTTAATGAGAATTTTTCCCTTTTGTGTTCCTGTCCCTGGCAAATGCTTCTTTTGATCTTTTCTCTAAAGGTCTTTTAGTTCTTTCACAAAATCTGCCTTTTGCCAGCCTGATCATATTTCATTGTTTCCAGGTCCCAGCCAGTTCAGAAAGACAGGACACACTCTTGGACAAGCTGCCTCCCTTGGGGAGTCCCCATGAGTCACTGACTGCCCAGCTCCATCCCGAGAAGATCCACAAGGAGCAGGACTCTGGGGACCCCCAGAGGAATGGTAAGGAGCAAGACTTTATATGTGTGCAGGAAGGTGTGGTTCCTTGTGGTAGACAGGAACTTTCTCACTTTGATCTTCTCCTTCTCAAGTTTTCCTGCTTATCCTCCACCTCATTCTAGAAAATGTTATCTCCCTTCCTACTGTTGCCTCATCATGGAAAGAATTATGTTTTGATTTTTCATTACACTTAAGAGCTGTTATTTGGCCCAGTGGATGGGGGATGGAATTTAAATACTCATTCAAGTTAATAATACCTTACATTTCTGGGACACCTGGGTGGCTTGGTCGGTTAAGCATCCAACTTCTGATTTTAGCTTAGGTCATGATCTCATGGTCATGGGATCAAGTACTGCCCAGGGTGCAGAGCCTGTTTAGGATTCTCTCTCTCTGCCCCTCTACCCTGCTCATGCTCGCTCTCTCTTAAAATATTTAAAATGGTAATGATAATTATTTTTAAGTTTCTGTTGGTCGTTACGATTCTAGTTCTGAATTCTCTTAAATTTACATTTGAGCAGGAGAATTTGTATGACACTCTGTATTAGTCTAGTTGGGCTCCTGAAACAGAATACCACAATTTCTGTGTGCCTTACACACAGAAATTTATTTTCTCATCATTCTGGAGGCTGGAAAGTCCAAGATCAAGATGTCACCGGGCTTGGTTTCTGGTGAGACCTCTCTCCTTGACTCACAGACTTGCTGTGTCTTCACATGGCCTTTTCTGTGTGCATGCGTACTCTTGGCATCTCTTCCTCTTAGGTGAGGATGCCCATCCTATAGGATGAGGACCCCACCCCTATAGCCTCGATTATCCTTAGCTACTTTTTTAAAAGTTTATTTATTTTGAGAGAGGGAGCATGGGCAAGTGGGGGAGGGGCAGAGAGAGAGGGAGACAGAGTCCGAAGCAGGACCTGCACTGTCAGCACAGAGCCTAATGTGGGGCTCAAAGTCAGGAACCGTGAGATCATGACCTGAGCTGAAATCAAGAGTTGGTTGCTCAACCAACTAAGCCTCCTTGGCACCCAAAAGTAAAACTTTAAATCCCAGTTTTCCCCGAACACTGGTTTTTGTTTGTTTTTGTTTTTGTTTTTGTTTCCACTGCTCCCTGTCCTTCCTCAAGACACATTTCCCCCCCCCGGGTAGTATTTATGCTCTGGCCTATTATGGATTCATTCTCACTGCTATAAATTTTACCAGTATGGTTCTTTCATTCTATAGGCTCCCTGCCAGGTGATTTGTCTAATCTGAAAAATGATTTTAAGTGAAGATATTTCTAGCTGATAACTAGAAAGATGGTATTCAATTATGTGTAACTTAAAGGAGTCTTTTAGTGCTTTCCAGTGTAGTGTAGGTTATTGGTTAGCTTTAGAGGTGAGGCTGAGACTCCTTCTGTTCATTCTTCTTTTATTAGCATCGTTGAGCAGCCACGAAGTGGCAGGCGCCATACTAGATGTAGGGAATACAAGGGTGAGACTCCTTTTCAAGAAACAGAAAGGAGCAGTTATGCTATAACTTGCCCCAAACAGGACAGCTGTCCCTGTGGCTGGACAATAGGAGTTCAGAGTGGGTTTACTTAAGCCGAGATGGTCACATGAGTGGGAACGGGAACATTCCAGGCAGAGAGAAAAGTGCAGGGAGAGTGGGGGGCAGCATGCAAGCAGCATTCTAAGAACAGCAGTTGCTCTGAGGTTCTGAGGTGTTTTTTTTGATGAAGCGAACTTTGTAGAAGGGGAAAATCCAAAGCCAGTGGTGAAGGTTCCTGGATACCATGCTGAGAAACAGAACTTCATCCTATCAGACGGAGGTCTGTTACTTACATGAAATAGAGAAGTAGGTGATACAGATTTGTGTTTTTAAAAATCACTATCAGTGATTCTACTTTTTTAAAGTTACAAAGAGAAACATTGGGAGGATATCTCCAGATGTAGACAAAAATTATTTGAAGCTTATTCTCTGTTTTCCAAAGTCTGTAAGTGAGTAAGTGAGTGAGCACACAACTGTAGTAAGGAGAAAAGAAATCAACACGGGGCAGGGTGAAGGAAGACCACTTTCAGATATAAAGCATGGTAGACTAAGGCTGGAGAGAGGAAGGAGAAAATTCAAGAGATCCATATTATTCATTGATTAATGAACATATCTGACTGGTGGAGGGCTGTTTTAATAAAAGCCAAGTTTACAACTTGGGCAACTGGCAGATAATGGTGTCAGTAAGTGAGAGAAAAATCAGAAGGTGGAATGTTATCTATGTGTGAAGACTTAGGAGCGGATTCAGTTTTTATACATGCAAATTTGCTGTGTCTCCGAAACATCCAAATACAATCCAGTAATCAGTACGATTTAAAATATGATTCTAGATATAGGAGGAAGATGTGGGAGCAGATAAGAGATTGGGGAATCGTCCCTGGGTAGATGATAGAAGACATGGCTGTAGATGAAATTGACCAAGACGAATGTATCAAGTGAAGAGAAGAGAGGCACGTGCAAATTTTTGAGGCATGCCACCGTGTGAAGTTTGGGTGGAGGAAGAGGATTCTGTGAAGGAGACAGAGCAGGGACTGTCAGAAAGGTAAGAGACACAGAAGAGGGTGGTGTCCCTGGACAACAGGAGCTTCAGCCAGCTGTAGCCAGTGCTAACGAGACACAGGACAAGAACTGATAAGAATCAGGGCACCTGGGTGGCTCAGTGGGTTAAGCTCCTGACTCTGGATTTCAGTTCAGGCTATGCTCTTACAGTTTGTGGGATCAAGACCCGCATCAGGCTCTGTACTGACAATGGAGCCTGCTTGGGATTCCCTCTCTCTCTCCCCCTAAATAAGTAAGTAAATTAGGGGTAGGGGGAAGAATTGGTGTGCCTTGGTGGCTCAGTCAGTTAAGCATCCAGCTTCAGCTCAGGTCATGATCTCATGGTTGGTGAGTTTGAGCCCCACATCAGGCTCACTGCTGTCAGCACAGAGCCTGCTTCAGATTCTGTGTCTCTGTCTCTCTCTGCCCCTCCCCAACTTGAACTGTCTCTCAAAAATAAATAATAAACAGTAAAAAGAATAAAAAAGAACTTAAAAGAGTCCACTCACTAGTTCATGGCATTTAATAGTTAATGATAGTCAAGAAGAGTTGCAGAAGGCAGAAGCTAAAAGATGCAGGCTGTTTTAGTAAGCTTAACTAGTGGAGTCTTCCCCTTTTTTCTGTGAGGAGGCATACTCTAAGAAATTTCTCTCCCAACCTTTGGGAGGAGACAGGACATGTAGTCAGTCATAAAATAGGTCACAAGGACTCCTGGGTGGCTCAGTTGGTTAAGTGTCCACCTCTTGATTTTGACTGTGGTCATGATCTTATGATTTGTGAGATCAAGCCCCTTGTTGGGCTCTGCACTGACAGCAAGGAGCCTTCCTGGGATTCTCTCTCTCTCCTCTCTCTGCCCCTCCCCCGCTCTCTTCTACCTCTACCTCTCTCTCTCTTTCTCAAAATAAATTAAAAAACATTTTTGGGGCGCCTGGGTGGCTTAGTCGGTTGAGCGTCCGACTTTCGCTTAGGTCATGATCTCGCGGTTCGTGGGTTCGAGCCCCGCGTCAGGCTCTGTGCTGACTGCCGGCTCAGAGCCTGGAGCCTGTTTCAGTCTGTGACTCCCTCTCTCTCTGACCCTCCCCTGCTCGCGCTGTCTCTCTCTCCTAGAAATAAATAAAACATTAAAAAAAAAAAAAAAATTTTTTTTTAAATCTTTAAAATTTAACAAATAGGTCATAGGAATATTTCAACATGCTAAATTCTCAGTGTAGAACACGGAATTATTGCTTATGACTAATGGATAGTCTGCAAAACTTTAAGTTCTAGATGGTCCTTCCTTGTTTTTTTGATGATATATCTGGAGTACTTTCACTCTACTTCATGTTATAAATTCAGAAAAATACACAGTTCCTATAAGTAAAATTGTAGAGGCTTACAGACGTGCGGCTATCAAAATAACTTGTCAAGGGAAAATATAAACTGTCTTCCCTTAATCTAATCTACTGACAAAGTACTTAATGAAATCTAGCTATCCTGGGGCGCCTGGGTGGCTTAGTCGGTTGGGCGTCCGACTTTCGCTTGGGTCATGGTCTCGCGGTTCGTGGGTTCGGGCCCCGCGTCGGGCTCTGTGCTGACTGCCAGCTCAGAGCCTGGAGCCTGTTTCAGTCTGTGACTCCCTCTCTCTCTGATCCTCCCCTGCTCACGCTGTCTGTCTCTCTCTCCTGGAAATAAATAAAACATTAAAAAAAATTAAAAAAAAAAAAGAAATCTAGCTATCCTATGAGGCCTGAGATTTCTTACAGAATCCCTTTTGTCTGCACTGAACAGTATAAGTAGGACTTTTCTCCTAAAATACAGCACCAAGAGCCGTACACAATTTTTATCTGTGTCCCCACCACCACACTGCCCAAAACTGACAAGCAAAAAACAAACAAAACCCACTAAAACAATAAAAAAAAAAAAAACCTGCAGAAATCATAACACATTTTAAGACCTGTCTCTCAACTTTATTAAAAGCATGTGATGTCTGGTCGAAATCTTCATTTTACAGTTGAAGACATATACTCACAGAGGTTGTGACTTGTCTGAGTTTCCAGAGTTAGCAGCAGAGCTGAGATTACAGTCAGAGCCTGGGGCTCCTGGCTGCTGGTCCCGAACAGTTGTTAAAAGTCATCACAATAATGTACCCCAAAGCCACCATCTTTTAAAAATAATTTATTGTGAAACACTTTTTTTCTTTCATTTTTTAATTTTTAATTTTTTTTTTATTTTTTGAGAGAAATAGTGCAAGCGGAGGACAGGCACACAGAGAAGGAGACACAGAATCCGAAGCAGGCTCCAGGCTCTGAGCTGGCTGTCAGCACAGAGCCTGATGCGGGGCTCGAACCCACGAACCTGAGCCGAAGTCAGATGCTCAACCCATGCCACCCAGGGCCCCCCCAGATGCCCCTTTTTGTAATACGTCTTATTATTTTTTTAATTTATTTTTTAACGTTTATTTATCATTGAGAGACAGAAACAGAACATGATCATGGGAAGGGCAGAGAGGGAGGGAAACACAGAATCAGAAGCAGGCTCCAGGCTCTGAACTGTCAGCACAGAGTCCGATGCGGGGCTCAGACTCACAAACCACGAGACCATGACCTGAGCCGAAGTCAGGCGCTCAATGAACTGAGCCACCCAGACGGCCCTGTAACACATTTTAAAAGTATTTCATTTTGAAGCATTGGACATGCTATTAACCCATAGCACTGACTCTCCATTAGCAATAAATGACAGCCTGTTCAGTTTCACTCAGCATGTAACCTCGTTCTTTCTCCCTAGATTGTCAAGTAAGCTGTACATGTGGTGATCAAATGACCTTGTGGACATCTCCTGTCAGACCAGCAGGGCTGGACGAATCTTGAATTGTAACTGACAGGGACTCTAGATACTACACGTGCCACAATAACATTGGAAGGACGTCCCTGGCAAAAGGTGTCAGAACCCAGTAGTTTTCATTTTGTCCATTCTGAAAGGGGGTCGCTTGGGAACCCTGCTAGCCTGGGACTAGCACTGTGAAGAGACACGTAAACAAGACCCTGAAACTCCAGCTGACCAGGAAGTAGACTGAGGTCCTTGAGATGAGAAGAGCTCACACTTGACAGCATCCATACGATATTCTTTACATTGTTCAGTTGCAGATCTAAGGGAGAGGGTTATAATTTCAGTTGCTGACCAAGAAAAACTGACCTTGTATTTAAAAAAAACAAAACCTTTTGAAGTCCTGATGAGATTTTTCTCTAGATTCCTCCCAAAGCTGTGGGAGAGAGACTCCTCCTGAGCATGGTAAACTGGCCGTTTAGGGCAAATGGTCTGTCTTTTTTTTAAATACTCATCTTCATCGGTAAGCCACAGGAAAGCAGCCTGTGGTGACAGCTGGAGGTACAGAAGCTGTTGCGCCTAATGCTTATGTTTGGAAACACTTCTCTTAATGGGACGGAGGCACCTCTGATTTCCATGACTTGATCATTGTTACCCTACTAACCTAGCGATACTTCTGTCACACGTTACACTTTTGCAAATGCTTTATCATACATTCCCTCATCTGATCAAACAATAGGTAAAGAGGGCACAGAGGTGAGAAGGAAACCAAAATAGTTATCATCTGCTAAAATTTAAACAATTATCAGACAGTTTCAGGACTGGAATCTATATCTTCTGGCTCTAATTTAGTCCTTGTAATTTCTAGCCAAAGATAACCTGACATTTAGATTCCAAAACAGTATCATCTTAGAGCAGATATCCAGATTTGGGGCAAGTCTACTGCCTGATTTAAATAAATTGTTAGGAGGAACGGAAGATTGGGAACAAGGGGGACATGGCAAGGACAGCGCAGAGTGACCTTCGTGGCTCGGCACCCAGTGAGCCATGTGAGCCAGGATTTTCCAGCCCAGCCCAGGCGCTGAGATGCCCTGGCAGCACTTGCTGCTGCGTCCCGCAGGCCACGTGAGCCCCTAAGAACTAAGGAAATGGCAGCTGCACAGCTAGGATTCCTAGGTTCTTTGAGATGGTGGTCACAGTGGGACCAAAGAGGTGACACTTTCTACCCCCTCCAGATAACCAAAACAGGCATTTTCTAATACAGTGCAACTCAAATATTTACCGAGTACTTGCTATTATGTGCTATTCTATGCAAAGCTTGGGGTTGAGGCCATAGGGATCAGGAAGAGGGAAAGAGCTGATTTGGGAGATTTAAGACTCCCTGGAGGAGAGAGCATTTGAGATGGACCTTGAAAAATACCTAGGCTGATGGTTCTCAAAGTGTCTCTGGATCAGTAGTATGTAGCACACCAGGAAACTTGTTAGAAATGAATGGTCTGGAGCTCTACTCCAGCCTTATCAGATCGCAGGTTCTGGCAGTGGGAAGACTAGTAGTCTGGTTTAAGAAGCCAACCAGGTGATTCTGATGCAAATCAAGCTTGAGGACCAGCACTGGAGGAGACGATAATGAGGACATACACCAGACCATCCACTGTCCCTTCTATTTATCCTGCCCTGAATGGTCTCAGCCTGCTTTTAACTGATTATCCTTCATACGGTTCCCTTCTTTGACGGTTCCTACTCACTACATTCCATTCAGATCCCTAACCCCACTGTCTTCTCCTGTTTTACTCCCCCTTAACCACCTATGTTTCAGGCCCTCACATGTTTCTCCCAAACTTTCACCTCTCTCCCCATCTCTGTTCTCTGACCCCCTGTCTGTCTGTCTTCATTATCCTCAGCATATCCGTAGTCGTCATTTAGCACTCACCACTCTGCCTGTGCACAGGATTGCCAGGTGACCCTTGGATCCACATCACTTAATCTGTTCCCAAATAATGAACCCTGCCACTGGCTTCCCTGCTGGCCTCTTAATTTCTTATTTATGTCGTCAGTATGATTTGCTGGTGCCAGATCTCTAGTTTGTGCATTGTATGTGACTTTTTTATAACACTCAGAGCGTTTGTGTGTTCCTTCTCAAACCTAGAGTGGGACACGTTTGTGTTCTCTCTGTTACAGGTGATGAAACCAGAACTCAGAATGAAGTGTTGTCCCAGGAGGAAGGTACACCCAAGGACACACAGTTCCTTGGCGAGGTAAATGGCAGACTTGACGAAGACATTCCTCTGCCTCCTGAATCCAGAGATGCTACTGAAAGCGAGGGCAGAGTGGCGTGGCCACAGAGGGAAAGAAGGCGCTATGCATGTGAGGACTGCGGGAAGAGTTTCAGCCACAGCTCAGACCTCAGCAAACACAGGAGAACTCACACTGGAGAGAAGCCCTACAAGTGTGATGAATGTGGGAAAGCCTTCATTCAGCGCTCGCATCTCATCGGACATCACAGAGTACACACTGGAGTGAAACCTTATAAATGTGAAGAGTGTGGGAAAGATTTTAGTGGCCGCACAGGTCTCATTCAGCATCAGAGAATCCACACAGGTGAAAAGCCCTATGAATGTGAGGAGTGCGGGAGGCCTTTCCGTGTGAGTTCGGCCCTGATCAGGCATCAGAGAATTCATACAGCAAATCAGCTCTACTAATACAGTGAAGAGACCGTTCTTAGGTCCTCAGGCCTCATTAGTTCCCAGAGAATCTGCTGTAGAGACTGAGTAGCCTGAATGCAGGCGACACTTCAGTCATCAACTATTTCTCCAGCACCAGAGAATCTACCTGAGAATATTTCCTTTTATTTCTAAATTACTTCAGTTTCTTGGGAAGAATTAAGAGTTCTTTCAGAAAGCCTTGTCTGTTGACATACTGCTCACCTACAGCCCAAAATAACCATGTTTCTTGGTTGAAAGGCACTGAGTGCTACTTCTCAGCTCTCCTTTTTCCTTGACCATTCAGTGTATGACTTAGGCAAACATTTGCTTTTTTTTTTTTTTTAAGTGTATTTATTTTGAGAGAAACAGATCTGAAGCAGGCACACGCACACAAGTGGAAAGGAGCAGAGAGGGGGAGAGAGAAACTCCCAAGCAGGCTCTGCGCCGTCAGTGCAGAGCCCGACACAGGACTCAAACTCATGAACCATGAGATCATGACCTGAGCCAAAGTCAAAATCAGATACTCAACCGACTGAATCTCTCAGGTGCCCCTAAACATTTATATTTTTCTCTGCCTTCCATTTCTCCATCCATAGCGTGCAGAGGACAGCGGATGCTTGCCAGGTGTATTATGTCAAGGTAAAAGCTGCTTTTGAAATTCTTAACTAAAACAATACTAAGTATTTGTTTTCCACCACTACTGCTAGAGTGGCCTAAATATTAATCTCCTTTTTACCTTAAAGTAGGGAATGTAATCGTTTTATGGAATTTGTTTGCCAGTGCTGAAAAAGAAGAAACCATCAGGAAAGACAGCAGGCTAAGGAAAACATTCCAGTGGAAAGGAGAGCAGTTAAGTAATGAGTAGAAGCTGTTGGGAAGGCGGGGGGAACGGTGTGTTAGGGATCTGTAATGTGGATAAATCATTCCTCTTCTGAGTCTCCCGTCACTGTAAACTGGGGGACATGGGGAGAGATCAGTCTAGAACTGCGCTGTCCAGTATAGTAGCCAGTCATCCACACATGGCTGTATAAATTTAAATTAACTCAAGTAAAATAGAAAATTCTATTCCTTTGAGACATTTTAAGTACTCAACAGCCACATGTGGCTAGTAGCTACTGGATTGGACAACAGATGTAGACCTTTCTTTTTATCTGCAGAAAGTCTAAGGGATATTGTCCTAATCTATCATTGGTAAGGTATCTTCCAGCTTTGACATCCGTGTGATTCTGAGTTTAGGAAGGTAGTAAAAGAGACACCTGAGGAGGCTACAGTAGCAACAGAAGATAAAATACAAACACCATAAAAAAGTAATTTAGTAATAACTTTGTAGCACTTTTTCAGCCTTAGAAAAATATAGTTGGATATTTGATTAACCAACTTAGATTATAGTTGGATAATTGAAGATTATTAAATACAGTAACCTAATGTAAATCGAAAGCTTAAATTTTTTTTTCTTTTTTCTTTTTTCGGCTTGGAAATATACTAGCAGTTCATGTAACAACTTTACATCCCTAGTTTGAGAATTTTATAACATGACAGAAATTGTGGCCAGAGGCCCAGCACATTCAGATTCACACCATCAAACTGCCCTGAATCACTGGTTCTAGGAATCGCCTCACCAGAACAACCAGACAGTGATTGCCCCTCTTCCTGAAGACAGTAATCACACATACTTGCTTTCATATTATGATTGACTAATTAAACTACCACAGTCATACTGTGTCTCTGCTACTATTTGGGAGATGAATCTTAAATCATTCCTTGTAGCACCACAAAGATAAACTGGGCTTTTAGGTCTTTTGAACATAATTGATAAAAAAATTTAAAACCTGAAGCTTCACACTCCTTGTTTTTCTAACAATTATCTGGGCAATATTTCAAAGCATTTAAAACAGATTTTTTTTTAAGTGGTCATAAAGGAAAAACTAAAGCATTAAATCTCTAGTTTTAGAAACATCCTATTTTGAAAATAAAGCTAGATGCTTACTGAATGATAGCTCTTCCCGCTTTACCTTTTGTCTCGCGGAGAATCATGCATAGAAGCTATTGAAAGTTTCCGATCTTTATTAAATTTAGAGAGGCTTCTGCAGTGGTATGAAAGATGATCCTGGCTGCTACAAGGTTAGGGTAAAGACATGACAGACCGACCGATTTTCCTTTATCCTTGTATGCTAGAACATTCTATTCAGATATTTGTGAATACCTGTAGTGCAAAGAATCGTTGGTTACCTCTAAAGGCTGAGTGAAGACTAGTTTGGAGCACTGACAGCATGCTACCCTTTTCTAGGCTTGGTGTTGATTCCAAATTGCCACAGCAGTGTCCACCATCTGACACCAGAGGGACAGTAAGAGTCCAGGAGGGACAAATATAAGGGCCTAGAAATGGCCCAGTGTGCTGCAGCAAGAGAAGAAAGGCCAGTGGACCCTGGCATAACCCAGGCATAAGGCAGAGGAGGCGTGAGGTTAAAGGAGGTCTGAGTTGCTGGTACCATGAAGAAGCCGGCATTGTCCCAGTAAATGCGCGGAAGTCTGAGGGAAAAAAAAAGGTCAGGGTGCAACCAGTTGGAAGAAGAGCTGTGCTCAAGCCCAGCCAGTTTCCTGAAGAGAAGTAATCTGCTAGACACTAATCAGAACCACCAGGTCCCTGCGGAGCCACCCTCTGTGCACAGCACCTGTTCTAGAAGAATCCGGGCTTCTCAGTTACGGCAGAAGCACGTGCATTGCTCCTTCCATCTTTTTCAAGAGAGAATGATTTTATTTTTTTGGAAAGCGGTGAGGATTGTAGTCTGAAGCTTTTGTGAACTGGCAGGACAGCTGTGATCGTACGAGGCACTTAAAGGGAGGTGGAGGCAGCCCTCAGCCACAGATGGAGGTGGCAGTGAACTGGGGATTCGGAATGAGGAGCCAGCAGCTTTAAGGGGAGGAAATGGACAAGTGCGGGGGGTGCGGGGTTCTAGGAGGAATGGATGGGCATCGGCGAAGGGGGAGAACTAAGATTGCAGAGATGGATGGAAGGAAGAGAGTAAAAAGGAACAAGGGTGTAGGGAAAAGAACAAAGACCAAATGAGAGATGGTGATAGGAAGGAGAAGAGCGTGGCAAGTAATCTAATACTGGCATCGGTCACCTTTGAGCCTGGGTCATAGGATACAAGCCGTACAAAGGTACATGGAGCGTTAGGAGCACAGTGTATACTATTTATCGAACAAGCCTCCGTTCTCATCCTAAGCATGAAATTATTTACAATCAAAAGTCCATCAATAGTGAAAACACAACTAGAAAGTTTGAATAACTTGAACAAAACAAGCTGTTCTGTTACTGATCCCACAAGAGAGTTGGATATACTGAGGTTCTCAGTCTTACTCAGATCCTCTACAGCAAGGTTTCCCAGGCTTGTTGTATTAACATTTTCAGCCAGACAGTTCCCTGTGGTGCCCTGTCCCCTGGATTGTAGGACTTTCCCTGGCTTCCACCCACAGGATACTACTACCACCCCCTACTTGTGACAAGCAAAAAAAATTTAGGTGGATGAGCAAATGCCCCAGTTGAGAACAGCTGATCTATAGGAAAATAATCTGATTTCCATGACTGTTCCTTATCAGACACAGTAAGATTCTACTTAGAGATAGTACATGTGACCCCAGCATTGCTAGACCCTTTTCCCACCCCCAAAAATGATTCCTGGAAAACATAAAATCTAAACAGCAATTATGCTAAATTGCTTTAGGAAGCCATACCTTACTGCTGAGGACCAGAGGAATCTGCCCTCCAGTGTGACTTGGATAAAGGGCTCACACTGCATTTTTTAGGACTTTACACTTGTCTGCCTGCCAAGTGTGTGGTGCTGCCCTCTCCTTTGCCCGCTGACCTACCATGAGTAGAGACTTTGTAATTGAGGTCTGCACTGTCCACTGTAGTAGCCACCAGTGGCTATGCAGCTAAGGAACTGCGATTTTAATTTTAATTAAATTTTAAAACTGATAATTTCAGTTACTGGAAAACCTTTAGATATATGTATAGTTTGGATATGTGAATCTACTTTTAACATTTTAAATTTTGCATAATCTCAATATAGATTATTTTCAGTGAAAATTTATCTGAATTGATATGTGCAATAAGTAGGAACATATAAGCTTTCAAAGATTTAGTATGAAAAAATGAATAAGATATTTGGTTACTTTTTATATTGACTCGATGTTAATATTTTGGATATACTGGCTTAAATAAAATATATTACTGAAATTAGTTTCACCTGTCTTTTTTACTGTGGCTGCTAGAAGACTTCACATAGGTGGATCACGTTATAGTCCTACTTATTGTACACCCTCATCAAGATCTCACCCTTGGGGTCCCTCCCCATTCTCCAGGTTCCAAACCACTTTAATTCTGTGAGAGTAAGTTCTATGATGCAAAGGACTTTTTACCTGTTCTTAACTGATTTGTTCAAAAGTCAAGTATTTATTGAGCACATGCTATGTTCCACAGGGGACAAGGGTAGGCTGCTCCAAAATGTACCGCCGTGGCACACTGATTTTTTTGGTTTGTTTATTTTGAGACAGCGTGAGCAGGGGAGGGTCCATGAGGAGTTAAGTGGCGCTTGGAATGAAAACGACAGACGGAGCAGCAGCAGGGGTCGTGGGAGCAGGTCTTCGGAAGCTGGGGACTGCGGCAGGGACTCCGGGCGCAGGGAACCCTGGGCGCGGGCTCCACGGACCCCCGAGCCGCGGCCCCGAGCGCTACGAAGGCGGTCAGCGTCCTGCTCGGCGCTCCCGAGACCCCGCAGCTGGTTCGTATCCACGCGCCGCGTTCCGAGTCGCTGCTGCGCCCCGGTGTGTTCACAGTACCCGCCCTGTTCACCACGACCTCACACCGCGCGGTCGCGGACACCCGGCCCCGGCCCTCCCCACAAGCCCCGCCCGCCGCTCCGGAACCGCTCGCGGCCGGAAGTGGCTGGCAGTCGCGAGAGCGCCGGGAAACTGGTCCGCTCTTCCCCGACGGCACAAACGCTCGGCTTCGGGCCCGAAAGAGCCCCGGGGCCCCAGGTGCAGGCAGGAAGCGGGTGAGGGGGGCGCCCGAAGGCTCTCTCCCGGCTGCAGGGACACTCCCGGAAAGTCGCTGGGCCGCGGGCCTGGGCAAACCTCCAGGATTCCGCAGGAGGCCCGATGGTGACTGTGGGGACAACCCGCTGCCCACCCTCAACCCCACAACCTCTCATCTGGAGGAATAGTGAAGGGGAGCAGATTTTGCCGCCCCCCAAAATGCCTCTTAGATAGGATTATTTCAGGATGATTGGTTAAAAAAAAACAACAACGGATAGGAGCTCTGAAAACCAAGTAAAAGTTACCCTTTCGTAGGAAATACTCGCATTTTTTAAGGGAATACCCATTTGTAAGTGTGTCTC